CCAGGTGAAGCTGTATGTGTCCTGCAGGACATGTGTCGTGCAGGCCAGACGGCTTCAGCCTGTCACTTCTGTATTGGACTCAGCAGAGGCATGGGCATAACAGTACTCCTCTTCCCATCTCCTGCTCACAGTGTTCCTCAGAGGTTCTGTTTCGCAGGAACAACCACCACTCACTTCTTTCCTTGGTAATATTACTTCTGCTCCATCGGTAATGACCATCCTTTTCTTTTAGATAACTAAATTATCATACACTCAGAGCAGTTGTTTCCTGTAGAAGATTGACACTTCTATTTCAAACCATTGTTAAATGATAAGATAAATGTTGCTTTCAGGTGCAAATGCAGAAGCAGGAACACAGTGGGCACATATCAGATCAAGCATTAACTCCCTGTTACAATTCAGATCTGTTACCAAGTGTTAGTAGTTCAGCTTTGTACCACTGGGCCTTGCAAGTGACTCGAAGTCCTGCTTTCTGCAGCAGGAACTCTGGCCATTTTGACAGAAACCTGCAGCTGATCTTGGTCCATGTTTTGAGCAGAATCTGCTACTTTCAGGTCTGAAATGGTAGCCTCAGGTGTGAAGGAAGGACCACCTCTTCCAGAATTGTTCTTCTCCAGCCATGATATTGGCCAAGCAAAAGATGTCTCTGACAAGCTTACCTCTCCCGTAGCCTGAGGTACTTCCATCTGGTACAGGACCACTGTTAATTTATTTTGAATTGAGGATTACAAAATGTGGATTATTCCTGACTTGTTTGGTAATGACAAATCAGCCATTCCTGGTGGCTAGTGCCAGGTCTGGAGGAATGACAAAGATGAACCATAGATCATAATTTATTGTTTTCAGAGGTCTTAAGGTTCGTTGTTCTGGAAGGGTGAATGTGATTGGTACACATAGTGTATAAAAAAGTTTGCTTGAGTAGCCCAGCTTTATGGAGAGCTACATGGCTGCTCCATCCTCATTTACTTTCAGTCAATGTTAGTGTCCTCTATAGCTCTTGATTTGGAGACATCCTTGAATACACTTAGAGGATATTGGATAGACTAGCATTTCTCTTGATTCCTTTGGAACCCTCCTGAGAGGAATTGTAAGCCTTGTTTGCATGTCTGCTTATGATTCAAAGAGATTACTTGTACATTTTACTTCCAATGTGTGTAGTACATGTAACATGTATTTGCAGTTGCATAGAGTAAAATAAAAATGAACTGTAGTTTAGTCTCTAAAACATACAGGCTGAAAGTGACCTCTTAGTCCTCAAACGATTCACTGAATTTCAGGCAAAACCATAATTTGGGTAGACAACTGTTTAAGCCCCAGCAATCACAGAATAATTTGGATCAGAAGGATCTTTGGAAGTCATAGAGATGAACTGCTACACAAAACATGTTCAAATTACATTGGGTTGCTCAGGACCCTGTCCAGTCAGGTTGTGAATACCTCCAACCAAGGGTGGACATCCCACAGCATCTTTTAGCACCCCATTCCAATGTTTTGGTACAATCATGGTATAAATAAAAAGTAAGTTCCTTATACTGAGTCAATTGCCCATGTTGCAGTGACTTTTTGTTGCCTCTCATCCTACTGTTAGGCACCTGTGTCAAGAAATGCTCATTAATCCAGTCTAGGAACCTCCTGGGTGCTCATGCCCAGTGTTCCTGCCTTCCAAGCAGAAGTTGGGGTGGTTAAAGTTGCCCATGAGCACAAGGGCCTGCAGCCATGGGGCTTCCTCCAGATGGCTAAGAAAGGCTTTGTCTCCTTCCTGATGGGGTGGTCTGTAGATGCCCTAGCAGTGTCCTTTGTTCCAGTACACCTCTCAGCATTTGGGTGAAGCCGTCCTTGTGCAGTCTCCAAAGCTGCCGTGCTGTGCTGGTCCCAGCACTGCCCCGTGGTGCTTTTCACATCCCAGAGGTGGGAGTGTTGCAGCTCTTCACTGCTTTCTGAAGCCTTGCATATTTGTTCACAGGCATGTGTGGCGGGACCTCCCCCATTGTGCTGCTTTCACAAGGAAATTGTGAAAGCCTTTCAATCACTGTTCCCTGCACACTGTCCTCATGGCCTTCACACTTATTATTTTTCCATTCTTTTGTCACCATCAGTAAGTTAAGTCCATGGAAATCAGGGATCAGAACACATAATTTAACAATAATCTGTTCTTAGTAATTTTTTAACTTTTGAAACTTTTAAATTTCTACAATAGGGGAAAAAAACTAGCCTCTAGAAAGACACTATCTTACTAATGTTAATAATAACCTATTACAGTTATCCGTTTCATTCTAAGATAAGGTTTAACATACATGCTTCAAAACCTCAGATGCTGCTGCTAGGTGCTTTTTGTAATTTCTTGAAATAGGTAAAGGCCAGAATGGAGAACTCAGGTAATGAAATACTCTTTACTCTTTTATAGCTAGAACTTTTGTAGAAGAAGAGAGGAGACTTGCATAGAGCTATGAACTTCTCTGGGTAAACCATACAAGAAGAAGAAATTAGGCTGCAACAGATCCTTATCACAGGAACACCAGGATAACTGGGGTTCAGTTACCTATGAAGAAAAATGAAAAATTAATTACATACTGCAGGCTGGAACGTTAGAGTGCTTTGGAGTGTAAGAATACCTTGATCTTTTTGAGCTAAGATGTACCAGAAACAAATAAACTCTTGATTTTGATGTGATACTTCTGAAGCTCCCCTTTAATTTTCCTGTCACTCTTGAAGGGAAATAAGGAAAGAGTATGAAATTGGAACATTATCGTGCCTCCAAAAGATTATTCCAATAGTAGGGTGAGAAAGCAAAAGACTGTAAGAGCCAAAACTGACCTGAGTGGGCCTTTGATCTAGCCCAGCATCCTGTCTGCATTGTGGCCATAACACAAACCTGAAGAGGAGTACAAACACAGGCAAGTACAGTTCTTCTCCCAAACTGCATCATTTACAGGCCAAGGAATTATATGCAGTGTTATCTTTCCTGGCTGATTTTAAAGTGTTTATTCTTTCTTAACATCTTATAATGCTAAAGATCAGTTTGGTTACAGGAATGGAATAGGAAGTATCTTTTCACTTTCATGTGGTAGTAGATGTAAAAGTGTGGAATATAAATATTTATTGAAGATCACTGCTCTTTCTAGAAACTTACTAGAAATTTCATTAGATCTTGGGTCCAGTAGTCTGCAAACCAGCTGGAAAGGCTGTGTCAGAGCTGTAGATAGCCTTTATCTTGAGGGCTGTGAAGGCCAGCTCCCTGCTCCATCATGTGCCCAGCAGTCCATGAACTGATTGTTCTGGAACTTGGAGTTAAAAGACTGAAGCTGTGTTTTGGATCCAGGATTTTTAATTTACTGCAGTATACCATGATTAATTTCCCCTGTGTGGAAGGAATTGAGGAATCTTTTCTTTTTTGTGGGATGGGATAAAAGCATTGGGGTATTTTGTTGGTCCAAAGATGTGTATTGACTGTGTGGAGGAAGTGTTGCCTAGCTGTCTTTATTCTGCAAGCTGTCTGGCAACTCCCTCATGTTTCCAGGGTAATGCTTGCTCTTTGTGCTCTTAAAAACATTAATGTTCTTTAATTATTCTGCTGATACTAAGACTCAAGCAGTTAAAAACATAATGGTTCCACTGGAGCTGAGCAGAGTTTTTGGCTCCATGATTTCTGCTTCTCCAAAGTGGCAGTCCAACAGGTGTTCTAGCATCTCAAAACAAACAAATAAATAAGGTTGAAAGGGACATTTTTTGATAGTCTTGATCAGTCTAAATACAGATGGGAGAAATTGTTCCTTTTCAACCTGGAATAGAAAAATATTAAGAAGAGGATGATAAAAAAAACCTGTAAAATGAATGACCAGTATGGAGAAGGTGCACAGGGAGTGCCTGCCCACTGCTGCTCCAGTTAAGCAGGAAGATGGCATCAAATGAAGGTGACAGCTGGCAGGTTGGAAAGGAGGGAGAGGAGGGACTGAGTGACACACTGCCCACTGGGGTTCTGGAATGCCCTGCTTAGGTACTAAAGGGCAACACCTTTCAAATGCTGTCAGTTGATGCCAGGATAGAGGGATTGTTGGGATGACCTCATGCAATAGTTACACTGAAAGCAGTGGACAGGAGTATCTCTGCTGTCGCTCGCATAGGTGTGTGTGTCTTACACCAAGTTACAGTCGTAGACTTCTGATCCTAAAGCAAAACAGGAATACCAACTAGCTTTTGATTCCTCTACAAGTATTCTAACAGTTAAGTGTCATGGCTGCACAGGTGAAAGCTAGAGTGAAGTAGAAACAGACAAGGCAGTCCAGTAGATTTACTATAATTAGTGACAGTTCCTTCACTTTAGGGTTTGCCTTCATGAGTGATTCCCAGGTAAGAACCAGCTTTTTCATGCAAGGGTATACTTGCTCGTTTCTAAGCTCAGATTGGTAGGTCTTCTTCCTAACCTACTTCATATCACCTTGTCTGCTAACTTATCTGGGAAAGGGAAAAATGAAAAGGGACTTTTTAAATAGAGCTAATGTATTAAGATACCAACAAAAGTTGGCACCTTGTAGCTCGTCATGTTGAACCTTTGATGAGAAGGTTGATTTCACCTCAGCCAAGGAGATGTGTTGACAAGGTTGACTTCTTAAACAGCACTTTTTGGTAAGAAATCCACATGAACACGCACATCTAGCTTTAGTCTGGGGAAACCCAGGACTTTTTTGGTGAGGCAGGACAAATTTACCATGCTTTGCATTGCTGAGAGGAGTGGCTCCCAGGCTGCTTGTAGCTGAGCCTCACTTGAAAAAGAAAGCAGCCATGATTGAGACCTTGTGGATCTAGATGGGGTCTGTTTCAGTCCTGTCTTTGACCTTGACCTTGACCTGAGACCTGCCCCACCAACTGGGGACTAGTCTGAGGGTGACTCCTCCTGAAGGAGGAATGGATGGTCTGTGGGCTTGGGAGATGTCAGCACCACTGCTCTGTGCCATAGTGGATTTTTGCTTCCAGTGTTTGGATATTCCTTGCTTCCTTCTCAGATCCGGGAGCTGGTTCCTGAGTCCCAGGCCTACATGGATCTGTTGGCCTTCGAACGCAAACTAGACCAGACCATAATGCGGAAGCGTGTGGATATTCAGGAAGCGCTGAAGAGGCCAATGAAGGTATGTCCTGAAAAATGCATGCATTGAGCTGGGGAGGGTAAAAACAGTCCTTATATTAAATGGTGGAATGATCTTTCCAGTAGCAGCCCTGTGAACAGAGATATTTTGAAGCAGGTCAGATAAAGCTCCTAAGAATTAAGCAGCTGGGGAGCAACATGTGTGGGGAAAATGGTGGAGGAGATTTTGTGGATATTACCAGCTCTAGCTTCTGAAAGCCTTTCATGAGGGAAATAACAGCTTCTGGATAAATAAACCCTCGTTTTGGAACTTTGTATTAGAAAGATTAAAAAGAAGAAAATAAGAGATTAGAGGGATGTGCTGAAGAGAGGTATTAAGTTTCCTATTAGACTTAAGTCAAAAGCTAAACTTGTGCAATAATGAAACATATAATGTGCAGTAATAGAACATATAATGTGAAGAATTACTTACAGAAAAATTGTTAAAAGGTCCTGCAAAAATATGCATGTATGTGGTCTGTAAAAGGATGATTCAGTTTTCTGAGTCTATTCAATTGAATAATGGAAAAGTTCAGGTAGGAAGAAACTGTGTGTGCCACCTAGTTCAACCTCCAGCTCCAAACAGGGTTGTCAAGGCCTTGTTCAGTTTGAAAATCTCCAAGGATGGAGGTTTCACAGCCTATTCAGACAATCTCTTCCAATGTTGGGCCACGCCCATGGGGAAGAATTTCTTTTCATGTCTCATTTAAGTTCTTGTGACTGTATGGAATGCTCATACTTATTCATATAGTAAATCCTGTAGTATGAAGGTTTGTAGCTGTGTGTCTACTGTGAAGTAAAGGTGTAGTTCTTGTCTGTACCCCAGTAGTGGGTATCAGCCCAACCAAGATCCACATTCTGCTCTGTTTGCCACTCTGAGGGTATCTGGTAAGATGTGGAAGGCTGCTACCTTTGATGTTTTTCTAATTGATGTATCTGAAACAGAAGAAAGAAGGAAAAAGTTCTCTAATGTACCTATCTTACAGAGAGAAAAAAAAAGTGTGGATGGTTTAAATCTCAAGTTTGTAGTCAATAAGTGTTGTATATACAGTAGATTGGACTCTTAGAAGGAATAACTTGTCTTAGCTTCTTACTGTGGGTAGAACACCATTATGTTCAACCAGGTAGGAACTGGGCCATGGTTAAAAGTAATTGGAGATTTAGGCTTGCATTCATAAACCTGCAGGAAGATGTTTGTTCTGTGGCAAACTCTTTAACTAGGGAATTGACCAGGACACGTGGTTCCAGCTCCAAGCTGTACAATGGAGTTATTCAGGGCTTGTAGCAGGGAAGAGTGCAGGAGACACAACACTCTACAGAAACTGTAGACAGAAAATTCTGTTTCCGTCTAGGGCTCACCAAACACATTTTAAATATCAGTTACTCAGATAGTTAACATCTAAAGAATGATCAAACAGATATTTTCCAAATTCATGTCTAGATTCAGCATGTAGCAGCTGTGAAATTCAAGACCTGCCACAACAGAGCTAAGCCTAGATAAATTTGGGTTGTTCTGATGTGAAGTATTTTCATTTTACTATAGTTGGAGCATTGGTAACTGCAATAAAAGTTATCTCTGCATTTCCGTATCTTGTCAAAGCTCTTGTAAGTGTGAAGTATTTGGGAACAGTGGTTTCCAAACTGGGATTGTAATCCTGGGAAAGATTTAAATATGTCTGAGGTATGTGGTAATGGGTAGAGAATATGCAGGACTGCTTGGAATTATGAGTTGTAATTGCAGTTATCTTCATCATAGTGATTGAGTTATAGCTGGAAACAGTCTTTGGGAACCACAGGCTTATGGTCTGGTGTTGCTCAGGTTGTTTTTTTGGTCTGAAGACTCATTCTGGAGAAGTTTTAGGGGGAAATGTTTCAAACACTTCTAATTGAAGAACTCGCCCCTGCTAGGCCTGTTGATCCTGCTTGGATCTCCTGTGAGCAGCTGCCAGGTCAGATCAGATGCCAGTTGTGGGACTGCTCAGAGAGGGAGACCTGGGAGTTGTGGGGTTGGTTGAAGGGGGGTGACCTGCACCACCTGCCAGCTCACTTTGCTGGTGTCAGCAACTCCTCTCAGCTGCCAGCTGTTCCAGTCTGGATCCTGCCTTCTCTTTTTTCTGCCTGTTGGGTGCTACCATGCGCTCTCCTCTGCTTCTGTCAGTCCTGTGTTCTTGGGCTCCATCTCTCCTGAAGGAGCTCCTCTGCAGAGCAGCCCTCACTGTGTGCTCGACCCAGACGTCCTTGCAGCGACTCCATGGGAGATGGACCTGCTCAAAATTCCAGGAAGGGCTTTTTAGGAGGGAGTCAGGCTGTTTGGCTGCAATGTGGCTGGAGGTACAGATATAGCAAACTCCATGGTCTGAAGGAAACAGAAACCACATGGCTCCACTCCAGACGAGTAGATGTCATTGAAGAAGAATGTGTTGCTGAAAATCTGGACAGCCAGGGCCATGGTGGACTTTGAGAGAGGGATTTATTTGGCTAAGTATAGACATCTACAGTGTATTTATTTGTGTGTAAGCTGGTCACTCTGGACTCCCTTTATAGTTGGGAGATTAAGTCAGTGTAGGCAATGGGGCTCAGGGCACAGGATGTATTAAAAAGAATATAGACAGAGCATGCCCTAAAAAGTGTCTGTTTCTCTCTACTGTCTAAGCCTGGGATAATTAGTCAGTTGTGGATATAAACGTAATTTTCATAAGACAGATGATTTTCTCCAGCAAGGTTCCTGCTCCAGGCCTTGGCACCACAGACGATGGTTTGGTCTCACCCAAACCAAAAGCTGTTGCCCAGGGACTGTCACATTCTCAGGGTGAACTGGTATAGAACATTTTGTTTATCAGACCTGGGTGTAGTTGCAGTTCCTCAAACTAAAGAATCTTCTCCCGGTTTCTCCATTTTTAGGTTAAAACCAGTACTACAGTCTCAATACCATCTCAGTACTATCTCAATGTCTCTCTTACTGTTTTTGTAAATTGAGATTCTTTCTTCACTTTCATGTTTTAGGAGGACTGAGGAATGTCTATTGGATTGTTGGCAGGCAGGAATTTGCCTTTTTTCTGAAATACTAAGTTTTCTTCCTGGTCCTTTGCCCTCTCAGACAAGACTGGCTTTTTGCATCCGCAGCATCTCACACCTGAGCTCTGCAGTCCTGTCTTTCTAAGAGACTCCCATCCTGTCCTGAGTGCTAAACCTTGAGCATCCAAGGGCTTTTTTTAGGGGCAGAAGAACAAATAATTTGTGGAGATTTTTGTGTCATACTCTGTACCCTGCTGTCACTGAGTACCTGGAATCAAACCTGCACTCACTTCAATCAACAAATGCAGTAGGTATCATTTATGCCAACTTGGGTGAAGCCTTTTATTCATCCTTCCTGGGATGTTATGGAGAAAGAGGTGGGGATTACTAAAGAAAGCTTAAGGTAACTGAGAGCAGTGTCAGCTCTGTCACTTCCTAGCTGTTGTAGATTCCCCTCTACACTGAAGGTCTGCAGCATGGGCAGTGTACTGCCTCCATTTCTGTGATTGTCATGTGGGCTTTGGTGCTGGCTGGGATTAATTGGAGGAGTTTCTGCTGTAAAATAGTTGCCAAGTGCATGTGCAGTCTTAATCCATCACAAACTAACTGAAGTGTTTGATGATAACGTGGTTAAATCTTGCGTAACCTCCCTCCCTCTTCCACCCGCAGTAGGAAGAAGAATCATGGGGCTGGTGTGGATCACTGTGTACTCACAGTGAGTAGTAACAGACTGGTTGAGATTGGAAGGGACTCATGTTGTCCAACCCCCTGCTCAAGCAGGGCCACCTAGAGCTGATTGCTCAGGACCATGTCCAGACGGCTTTCGAACATCTCCCAGGTGTGAGACTCCACAGCTTCTCAGGGTAACATGTTCCAGTGCTAAATGGTTCTTAGGAAGGTGCCAGAAACCCTTTCAGCAGTAGGTAACAGTTCCACCTAAATTCTAGTAATCAGAGATCAGTTCATACTAAGACACATGAAGGTTTGGCATCTTATAAAACTCTCAAATATTGATAGGACTGGGCATTCCTGGCCTTCTTGTGATCGGTATATTTTTTAGCCTCTCCAGCCCCTTCCGTGGTTTGGTGTTTTTTGGTGTGTGTTTGTTGTTTTTTAAAGAGCTTTTGTCTTTGATCCAACAGTGGGAAGTTTAAAAATAGACCAGTTAAGACTGATTAATGTGTTTATTTATGACCACTAAAGCAAGATACTAGAGATTTTTCATTATGTCAAGTCTCAAAGTCAACACTAGATATCCTTTAAAAAAAGCTGCCTTATTTGATGAATTATTAGAGCCTGTGTTGTACAGGAAATTGAGCTGGACAATAAAATCACTTCTGGCCTAAAACCCTGCAAGTTAAAATCTGTATTGTTGTGACAGTGAGTTCTGTGGGTTAACTAACTGGTTTGTTATGCTTTGTGTAGCATGCATCACATACTTTGATCAGGTTTGAATGCATGATCTTGTGGTATAATGTGTATGTTCTGCTTTTTGTGGTGTGAAATATGGAAAATACAAACTCCTAATCTCCTTCTTTACATTAGCCCATATTTTAAATATGTCTTTCAGGTTCTTTAGTGTTCTCTTTTCTTAAGTAAAAAACTCAGTCCTCCCAATCACTGTAGAGAAAGAATTTTTCAGTGTGCCTAACTGCTCTTATCACCCATCAATGTACACCTCCTGGTTATGTTCCTGAGAGAGTGCAGTTAAATAATAATCTGCTATAACTGATTTGATAGACTGTTGGGCATACTATTCTCTGTTGTATTCCTCTATAACATTTGTTCTGCTTTTCTGGAGGCTTTTTGATTGTTGAAGTTTTTACAGAACTGTCTACAGGTGATTTTAAAGTGTTGATACAAATTTGAACTCAGTAAATATTGGACAATTCTTTTTAGTATTCATGATACCTGCATATTCTACTAAGTCATTGATTTTCCTGTTTTGGGTTGGCCATTTTAAAGTTCTTCTCCATCTTGTGTTGTCATGAGTTACGTAACAAATTTTGCTTCTCCAAATTTTAACGTGTCTGTTTGCTGCTCTGGGTGAGCAATACCTCTGTGTTTCAGTTCTGATGAGAACACTCTCTGTTCCATTTGATTTGCTCACCCTTGACCACTTATTAGTGGTAACTGTTCCTTTCATCTCCTGATTTCTAGTTGCCATTCTCCTTTATCTTCCACTGGTTTTTTTGCTTCCTAGAAAGTTTTTGTGAGACCGTTAAACGATTACTCAGTATGCAAAGATAGAGACCTTTAAATCCTTCCTGTGCTTTAAGCATGAGGTTTACAAGCTGTGCTGAGGCACATGGACACCCACCCTTGGGGTGTGCATAGAGGACTCTCTTACACAATACTCTTCATAGGGTCAGCAGCCAGATTTCCTTCATTCACCCAACAATAGACTATCTGCTGATAACTTGGTTGATTTGTTTGAAATCCCAAGCACAACTTCCCTGCAAGTGTCCTGGAGGTATTGTGTCCTGCCTGAGAGTTCACTGAAGGAAACTTCAGCTTCAGCAGTGAATGGAGATTTGTCCTGGAGTTCTCACAAGATCTCACCTGTACTGTCAGGTGCTTAGTTTCTGATTTGACTTTTTAGGGAAGGAAACTGAAAAAAAATATGGCATTATAAACCAGAGGTACTTTTCTGAAAGATTTGCTGGATTTCCAGAATTTTGCCCATTTACTTCAACTTAAGGCTGTATTGATTTGTATGACAAGAACTTAGAAAACAACCTGCAGCTCTGCTTCTCCAGCATTCCTGTCAACTTCCCCTTTAGATCTGTTTCATTCCACATGAGCTGTCCTGGCATTTTGCAGCTGTTGCAGCTGAGACCTTTGCAGTAGTTCATCACTCACACGACCAATTCTCTGTCACATATGCTGCTTTTTTCTTTTTTCTTTTTTTTTTTCTCAAGGAGAAATTATAAGTGAAATACAGTGCTTTTGGGGAAGGCTTTTCATTTTAATACAACTGCTGTTTCAGGTTAATTTTGCTGAAGACAAAGCTGCATGTATCCTACACTTAGGGTAAAAGCAGATGAAGCATCTGTAGATTTTTTGGACAAGAGGTTCTTTGATGTACAGTGTTGATCAAGTCTCTCTTAAGTTCCCCCCTGTTGAGCTTTGCTGTTCTGGGTGGTAAAGTTTCAGTGTGTCTGAAGCTG